CACTCTTGTGGGACACTCTTGTAGGACACTCTTGTAGGAAACTCTTGCGGGACACTCTTGTGGGACACTCTTGTGGGACACTCTTATAGGACACTCTTGTGGGACACTCTTGTGGCACACTCTTGTAGGACACTCTTGTAGGACACTCTTGTGGGTCACTCTTGTAGGAAACTCTTGTGGGACACTCTTGTAACACTCTTGTGGGACACTCTATGGGACACTCTTGTGGGACACTCTTGTGGGACACTCTTGTAGGACACTCTTGTGGGACACTCTTGTGGGACACTCTTGTGGTACACTCTTGTGGGACACTCTTGTAGGACACTCTTGTGGGATACTCGTGTAGAACACTCTTAAGGGACACTCTTGTGAGACGCTCTAGTGGGACACTGTTGTGGGACAGTCTTGTAGGACACTCTTGTGGGACACTCTTGTAAGACACTCTTGTGGGACGCTCTTCTGGGACACTCTTGTAGGACACTCTTGTAGGACACTCTTGTGGGTCACTCTTGTGGGGCTCTTGTAGGACACTCTTGTGGGATACTCTTCTGGCACACTCTTGTACACTCTTGTAGGACACTCTTGTGGCTCACTCTTGTAGGAAACTCCTGTGGGACACTCTTGTAGCAAACTCTTGTGGTACACTCTTGTGGGACACTCTTGTAGGACACTCTTGTGGAACACTCTTGTGGGACACTCTTGTAGGACACTCTTGTGGGACACTCTTGTAGGACACTCTTGTGGGACACTCTTGTGAGACACTCTTGTGGGACACTCTTGTGGGTCACTTGCAGGACACTCTTGTGGGACACTCCTAGGAAACTCTTGTAAGACACTCTTCTTTGTCGGACACTCTTAAGGGACACTCTTGTGAGACACTCTTGAGCGACACTGTTGCGGGACACTCTTGTGGGACACTCTTGTGGCACACTCTTGTGGGACACTCTTGTAAAACACTCTTGTGGGACAGTCTTGTAGGACACTCTTGTGGGACACTCTTGTGGGACACTCTTGTGGGACACTCTTGTGGGACACTCTTGTAGGACACTCTTGTAGGACACTCTTGTGGGACACTCTTGTGGGACACTCTTGTGTGACACTCTTGTAGGAAACTCTTGTGGGACACTCTTGTGGACACTCTTGTGGGACACTCTTATAGGACACTCTTGTAGGACACTCTTGTGGGTCACTCTTGTAGGAGACTCTTGTGGGACACTCTTGTGGGACACTCTGTGGGACACTCTTGTGGGACACTCTTGTAGGATACTCTTGTGGGACAGTCTTGTAGGACACTCTTGTGGGACACTCTTGTGGGACACTCTTGTAGGACACTCTTGTGGGATACTCCTGTAGGACACTCTTAAGGGACACTCTTGTGAGACACTCTAGTGGGACACTGTTGCGGGACACTCTTGTGGAACTCTCTTCCAGCTCCCCAGATACTCCGTTCACTAAAGTTGTACTACAAGGTCGCCAGTTCTCAGCTTCCACCTCCCAAAAAACTCCACGTACTACAGTTGTACTACAAGGTCGCCAGTTCTCAGCTTCCAGCTCCACAGATTGCTCCGCGTACTCAAGTTGCACTACAAAGTCGCCAGTTCTCAGCTTCCAGCTCCACAGATTGCTCCGCGTACTAAAGTTGTACTACCAAGTCACCAGTTCTCATCTTCCAGCTCCCCAGATACCCCGCGTACTAAAGTTGTACTACAAAGTCGCCAGTGCTCGCCTGCATTTCGCGCGCTCGACACGCACGATCTCCGCAGAGGGTTGCGCGGGCACCGGACAAATCGCACTCTCGCCTGCATTTCGCGCACCCGACACGCACGATCTCCGCAGAGGGTTGCGCGCGCATGGGACAAAGCGCACTCTCGCCTGCATTTCGCGCACTCGACATGCACGATCTCCGCAGAGGGTTGCGCGCGCATGGGACAAATCGCACTCTCGCCTGACTCGCCTGCATTTCGCGCACTCGACACGCACGATCTCCGCAGAGGGTTGCGCGCGCATGGGTCAAATCGCACTCTCGCCTGCATTTCGCACACTCGACAGGCACGATCTCCGCAGAGGGTTGCGCGCCAAGTCTCCAAACGAGCGTTTCGTACGAGACTTCCTCAAAAACTCACACGTCAAAGTCTGCAAAACGAGCGTTTCGTACGAGACTTCCTCCAAAAGTCAAGCGGAAACACCCATCGGAGCACACACATCACGCAGTCCTGCCAAGCAGTTTCGCGATTCCAGCCCCTCCAAACAACATCCGCTCATACTCTTGTGGGACAGCTCTTGTGGGATACTCCTGTAGGACACTCTTAAGGGACACTCTTGTGGGATACTCCTGTAGGACACTCTTAAGGGACACTCTTGTGAGACACTCTGGCGGGACACTGTTGGGGGACACTCTTGCGGTACTCTCTTCCAGCTCCCCAGATACTCCGCGTACTAAAGTTGTACTACAAGGTCGCCAGTTCTCAGCTTCCAGCTCCCCAGATACTCCGCGTACTACAGTTGTACTACAAGGTCGCCAGTTCTCAGCTTCCAGCTCCACAGGTTGCTCCGCGTACTCAAGTTGTACTACAAAATCGCCAGTTCTCAGCTTCCAGCTCCACAGATTGCTCCGCGTACTAAGGTTGTACTACAAAGTCGCCAGTTCTCAGCTTCCAGCTCCACAGATTGCTCCGCGTACTAAAGTTGTACTACCAAGTCACCAGTTCTCATCTTCCAGCTCCCCAGATACCCCACGTACTGAAGTTGTACTACAAAGTCGCCAGTGCTCGCCTGCATTTCGCGCGCTCGACACGCACGATCTCCGCAGAGGGTTGTGTGGGCACCGGTCAAATCGCACTCTCGCCTGCATTTCGCGCACTCGACACGCACGATCTCCGCAGAGGGTTGCGCGCGCATGGGACAAATCGCACTCTCGCCTGCATTTCGCGCGCTCGACACGCACGATCTCCTCAGAGGGTTGCGCGTGCATGGGTCAAATCGCACTCTCGCCTGCATTTCGCACACTCGACAGG